AAGGAGGGGGGGGGGGAAAACCCCCCCCCCCCCCACAAGAGCATCCCCGGGTGGCTCCGCGCCCGCCCGCCCCGTCGGCGGCCGGAGCTGGCCCCGCGGTCTTTCCGCGGAGGGCGCCGGAGGTCCCTACTGCGGGCCCGGGCGGGAGTTCCGCGGGGCTGACGTTCCCCCCCGGCGGCAGCAGGGCGGGTAGAGCCCCGGTAAGCGCTCCATCCGCCGGGGACCTAGGGAGACGGCGCCGTGTCCTCCTGCCTCCGAGCCGCCGGTCCCGGGGCGCGGGGAGCGGTCTGGCCGCTCCGCTCCGTCCCGCCTCGGCTGCCCCGCAGCGGCGCTTCTCCTCCCTCTCCCCTTCCCGCGGCGGGGCCGGCCCCAGGGGCCGCGGAACGGAGCTTCCCCCGGGCGCGGAGCGTCCCCGGGGAGGGGGAGCGGGGCCCCCGGGCCACCCTGCCCCTCGCCAGGCGCCGTCGCCGCCAACTCGCGGGACTCCGTGTTTGGGGGAGGTAATAAACCCCTCCCCACCCACAGCCCCGACTGTAATGTTTGTCACTGCTTGCCCATCACTAGGGGTTGAGAGGAGTATGACAGGTCTTTGTTGTCTGAATAAAAATCAGTGGCAGCTCAAGGGAGAGAACTCCTCCTACTAAATTATCAAAAATGGGCTGGCTTTAGTCTCTTAACAAATTGGACAGAGCTCCGGAAAGCAGCAGTCCCAAATCCAACCTACAGGCACTGGGAACTTTAAAGCAACCAGGGACTGCTGAAAATAGCACTTCTTTTTGCTTTCTTTGTATTCAAAACTATATCCTTTCCCGAACGATTCTACTGCCCCAGGTCCAAGTCTCTCCAGTCAGGAGCCCCAGCTCTCCAGAACAGTAACAGATCCTTTAGCTCGCTTTTATTATTTTATTTTTAAAATTAATTATTATTACATTTTCTCCCCCTTGTTTGTTTTCTGCACATCTTCAGGAAGCCCTCGGTGCTTGTGCAAAGAGAAGCTCCTATTGCAACCTCCCTCCCTGCGCTGTTGCGCCTCGGTGTAAACGTTTTGGATGATCTAAAGACTCTGGGGTCTGTATATGGAAATAGTGGGGTGCAGAGCAGAAGAAAATACTTGTCCTTTCCGTCCCCCAGCCATGCTTTTCCACGGGATCTCCGGAGGCCATATCCAAGGAATCATGGAGGAGATGGAGAGGCGATCCAAGACCGAGTCCCGCCTGGCCAAGGGGGGACAGATGAACGGCCGAGAAACGGTAAGAGAGGAGCCGGCGCTCTTTGAAAGGGAGTCCCTGCAAGCATGGACCCGCAGCGGGACAGACCCTGCCTTCGGGGAAGAGAAAGACCCTGCTTCTCCCTGCCCCTTCCCTGCCACCCCTCGCTTGTAGAGACCCCTCCGAGGCTCCCTGTAAACCCGCCCGTAATGCTGGGTGCTGCGCTGCCCGGGCTCGGGTGCGCGTTTGTCTGATCAATGTTGTTGCGTGTGCCCTCTGGAGTAACGGGGAAAAAAATATTTTAAATCTTAACAGGGACCTTTTTTCGGTCCTTACAGCCTTTTGCCCCCTGCTCGGCTCGCTGCGGCTGCTCTGCCCCGTCCGAGCAGGGCTGCAGCTGCACTTTCTTTACTTTTTTTTTGTCCTTTTTTTTTTTTTTTCCCCGCTCCTGGCACCTAAATTAAACCGCAAACCGCGACCGCTTACTTTTCGTAACCATTTTTGGTCTGAAGTGTGGGATCGATACAAAGAGGCACCGCTCTCTCTGCATGTTACGCCCGCCGACCCCTTCGCTAGCAGTAACATCTCCTCTTTCATTAGCCAAAGGACCAAACTCTTCATAAATGTCCTAACGGCCGGCGGCGGAGTGTCCCCAGTGTCACGCTGGGTTTTGTGCGAAGCCAGATTCCCCCTTTCTCCAACTTGTAGGGCTTCCGCCGGCCGCGCACGGGGCTCTGCGCACAGAGTAACGGCCTGGAAAACTGCTTTAAGACTTTGAGCCATAGGGTCCTTTCCCGCTTCTCTTAAATAAACTCCCGCTTTGTTAGATGAGGATTTGCAATGTAAATTCAACTCGCCTTTTCAATTGCTGAGAAAACAACAAAAAAAAACCAAAACCCAACAAACCAAAAACCTAAAAAAGCGGGAGAGGAACGCAACTTCAGATTGGAAAGTGAGGGCGGACTTGCCACTTTTAAACAGTTGCGGCTTTAGAACAAGATGTTGGCGATTTTCTTCCCCCCCTCCTCCCCGCCCCCCCTTACTTTATCAGCAAACGCTGCCCCAAGTTTAACGGCAGAGCTTTTGTCTCCGCCATCCCCCCGTCTCCCTTTGTCCCGAGCGACATTCCTCGTGGGGAGCAGATTAACGGGAACTTGCAGAAGTTTGCTGATGAAAAGATGCTAGTTTTAGCTGAAACCAGCCTGTGCCACCTCTCTGCCCATGTCCCTGGCTGGGGAGGTAAGCCTTCGCGGTCACTGCTCTTTACACCGTCCACCTGTCTGCTTTCTCTTACAACTGTTTCAAATGGCCTAGTTTTCTTTAGAGACGGGGTTTTGGCTGGTTTAAGCACCGGTGAAAATTTACCGGACAAACGGTGGAAGCCTATACCCTCTGCCATAAACTTTTGGTGCAGCAGACCGGTATTTTCCTGCTTTAAAGTACCGTTCTTGTAGAGACCTCTAAGATTAAAACGCCAAAGTCGCAGGGAAGGTAGAGACTTTAACTTCAGGACCTCGGAAAAGCATGGGCTCTGCTTTTCTTGCTGAGGCCTAATTAGTTGCCTTCACATATTGAAATGACATTAGATCGTTAGGAGAGGTTTAATGGGATAAACACGAAAGCTGAACGGCGGTAAATACCCTCCTAGCGGGGATGGTGCCGGTTTCCCCTCAAACTTCCCGCCGGGAGCAGAGGGTTTGGTCCCAGAGTTGGGTGTCTTTACAGGAGCCCCCCAGGCCCCGCTCAGGACCCCGTCCCCCGCCCGGAGAACCTGCCTGTCTTTCTCTCCCTGTCTTATCCCCTTGTGGTGTGGTTGTTTTGCAGAACATGCCCCCAATGAGCCCCGAGAAGCCTGCTTTGTGTGCTGGTTGTGGAGGGAAGATCTCAGACAGATATTACCTGCTGGCTGTTGACAAACAATGGCACCTCAGGTGTCTTAAATGCTGTGAATGTAAACTGGCTTTGGAGTCAGAACTCACCTGCTTTGCCAAGGACGGCAGCATTTACTGCAAGGAGGATTACTACAGGTACAGCAATCAGTCCCCATGGGTTCAAAAAGCACGTCCCCTCATAAGGCATTATGAACCGAGCAAGGCTCTTTTCTCCACACGGGCTTTCAAAGGTAGCTTTTCGCAGTCAGCGAGTCCTTAATCCTGTAAACGTGTCTCCCCCCACCCCCTAAAACTCTCGCCCGTTTACAAACCGAACGGATGGCCCAGGGACACCGCCGATTTGAGCATGCGTGGCCGCCCGCAAACAGGGGAAGGAGAAGACCTCGGGTCTCCTCGCTGCTCTGCGCTTTCTTTCCCTAAAGACCGGCGTAAGACCCAACAAAACTTTCCCTCTGCCCGTAGTTTGCCGGATTTTGCCTGCGGAGCCCGCTGCCCCTGCCCAGCGCCGCGGAAGGGGGGGAGTGGGGGGGTGGCAGGCTGCCGGGCCCCGGGAGCGGACACTGTTTATCCGTGCGTGTCTGTGTTCCCGGGGCTCAGCTCCCCGCCGTTCTTCTCGTCTGTACACGAACTCCAGGGGAGCGGGGACCGATTCCCACCCCCTCCACCCCGGCTTTCTCCGGGGAAAGAGCGGGGACCTTTGCGAAAGTCCCGAGCGAACAGGTCAGCGCAGGGCCATTGCCCCGGGACCCCGCGGTGTTCCCAACAATCGGGACACCGACAGCAGGCGGGCCAGCGGCCACCGCCGGCAACGAGTCCCGTCCTGGGCCCGGGGAGGGTGCGAGGCTGGCGGGGACAGGCTCCCTGCCTCGGGCAGCACTGGGGTAAGGTCTTGCCTTCACTTTTCTAGTCGATGCCCATTTATTCTGTTTCCTTCAGAAGGTTCTCCGTGCAGAGATGTGCCCGCTGCCACCTTGGGATCTCAGCCTCCGAAATGGTCATGAGAGCCAGGGAGTCGGTTTATCACCTGAGCTGCTTCACCTGCACCACCTGCAACAAGACTCTGACCACGGGCGATCACTTTGGCATGAAGGACAACCTGGTTTACTGCAGGGCCCACTTCGAGTCCCTTTTGCAAGGAGAATACCCCCCTCAGCTGAGCTACACCGAGCTGGCTGCCAAGAGCGGAGGGCTGGCCCTGCCTTACTTCAACGGCACCGGCACCGTCCAGAAGGGGAGGCCCAGGAAACGAAAGAGCCCTGCCTTGGGAGTGGACATCGTCAACTACAACTCAGGTGGGAAACGCCAGGCCGACCCTCCCTCCGAAAAGAGGGTTCTCGGGCTTCCCCTCAGCTAGAGCAGGGCGGCAGTAACTCAGCCAGGCCAAATCTTGCTTAAACCGTTGGAAAAATCAAACAAACAGCCCTCTGAGGGTTACAGCGTTTGCGGGGAAAGCTAACAGCAGCCCTCCTCAAAGGCTGTCTTTGCCTATTAATGTCAAACACCCAAACTTAGCCACTTCCCAGGGTAAAGACAAAAAAAAAAAAAAAAAAAGTAAAAGTTTTCCTTTTACCCCAACCCCAAAATCACAGCGTTCTTTCTCTATAGCAATCTGAAATACTGTTATCGTTATTTGTATTTTATTAGCAAAAAGCACTTCACCAGTTAGTCCTCAAATTTGAAGAAAAAAAAAAATAGAATAAAAGCTGTAGTATATGGCTCCTACAAAGTCAACATAGCGTGCACAGAACTCGGTATAGATATTCATACTAATTAATTCTTCAGGCTAAAAAGTTCTGTTTTACTAGCACATAAATGACCAAACTGTACAAGAGGCCAACGAATAAACGTTGTCCCCTGTAACTGAGCCCTAACAAATGTAATTAAGGAGAGTGGTTTCTGCTTTCAATGACAGGAGAGGAACAAGTGTTGCCCCGTATTAAATATCTTCCCTAACTACAGTCATTTAAGTACCCAAACCGTGCCTTAAATACACACTGTTAGGGGCCAGAGATAAAGACGTTTCAGGTATGATCAAGCAGTTTAAGCGGCGTTTCATTAAATGGAAGACGAAAGCAGTAAGGGTAAATAGGAATTAAAAAGCTGCCGACTCCAATAACTATTTTGGCGAAACTTAAGCTCCCTATGGACGTTAACGAGGAAAGAAGGGTGTGGAAAGGCAGCAAGGGCGGTGCAAGGTGTTTCCTCAAGGGAACGGGGAGCCGTTCCGGCCGGGGCAGGGAGCGGGGGGCTCCGGGCTGGGCAGCGGGGAACCGGGAGAGGGGTCAGGGCCTCCCCTCCCGACAAACGCAGGTGGATAAAAGCGCACGGATTTCGGCCCGGAGCTCTCTCCGCTCCACCGCCATTGAGATTCATCAGCAATCCTCCACCGCCCCCCCGCAAACCCCCTCCGTGCCTCCCCCGGCACCTCCTCTGGGGCTGCTTGTGAGCGGGCTGTAGCTGGGAACTGGGTAGCTGCGAGGCTATTTCATCTCCTCTGATGCGTAGACCTTGGAGCCAGGGTAATCACTGCGCTAATTGTTCCTTGTTAATTGAAGATGACATTGGAATCCCTGGCTACGGAGCGGTTCCCAATCAATCCTGAAAGCTGCTAAAGAAAAGGGAACCTGTAGCACAGCCAGGGTTCATTCACTCCCAGCTCCCAATGCGGGATTGCCCGTACGCCCGCTCTTTGCTCTGCGCTGTCTCCCATCCCCACACCAGCACCCAAATTCCCCAGATCCCTAAATGGAATTTTTTCTAGGGATAATTTATCGTTAGAATTGGGACCAGAAATTAGGGAAAGATGAAAAGTTGTGGCTGTGACAAAACACCCCCTAAACTTCAGGTCAGGACTCGGGAGAGACATTGTTTGTGAACGCCGTCATAGTTTTTGTATGCTAGTCTTAAAACTCTCCTTCTTTACAACAACGAGGCATATAACGTGTGCCACTGACTTCAAATGAGATTAAAAAGCACTATCCATTATGAAAATACAACTCACTTCACTGAGATCTCACAGAATCCTCCAGGCAACGGGGAGAGAGAGAGGAAAAAAAAACCACAAACCCAAAAAACACCCTAAAACCAAACTCGCTCGAATCTGGTACTTTGGACTCAGGCTAGATGGCTGAGAAATTGGATCTGTTAGGGCCATGGTTTTGTTTTGGTTTTTTTGTTTGTTTGTTTTTTAAAGTATTATCTAGCGATGTCCAGGGTTGACACATGGTCTCGAGAAAATACAGTTTGCAGCCAAACTGTGCATCCGGTGCAAACGACTCCAGCCCGTTGACCCACTGAGCTCCAGATCCAGGGGGAAGAAAATGAATCTCTAACAGTTACGAAATGAGTTGCAGGGGATGAAATCGCTTCTGGAGAGAAAAAAAAAAAATCTCTAAATAATTGGCAGCCACTTTCCTACACGCGTTTTTCGTTCCCTGCCCTGTGATTCAGTAACTGCTCTTGCACGTAATCATTTACAAAGGGCAATCAGTCCGCAGAAAATTAAATGTTGGATACATGAGTGCCGCCTTCAGAGGGAGAAGGGGACACGGGTACGAACCCATAACCCAGCCCGCAGCCGGGCCCTTTCTCCCGGGCATTCCCCGGGTCCCTCTCGTACGGCGGGGCCAGCGGCAGCCCCGGCGCAGCCCGGAACCGCGGCTTGGGCTTGCGAGCCGGCGGGGCAGCGCGGAGCCGCCGCCATCCTCCTCTCCCCTCCCCTCCCGGGGTCCCCTCGCCCCGGAGAGGAGAGACGAGGGGCGCAGGAGCAGCCCTGACCCCTACATGGCCTGTCTGCGGTAAGCACAGCCGAGCCGGCAGACAGCGCTGGCCCCTGGGCAGGCGACTTCCAAGTTATACCAAAAGTTTACTCCTGTCACTCGGTGTTGGGTGAGAATCGTGAATTTAACTCCCTCAGCAAAGCAATCCGGTGTCCCACCCAAACAGCCGTGCTCTAGGCTGTCCAAAATTGATATGGCAAGACCTTATGGAAAACGAAACAGACTTTTCAAAACAAGACATTGCACTAACTCTGATTAAGCTAAAAAACTTCATCAAGCTGAGCATAAAAATACGCGTATTCACAAGCGATCTGGCAGTACCTGGCTCAGATTTGTGTGCACGTTTTGTTTCAGGGGAGCTGAGCACAGAGCCAGCACGGAAAATCAGATTCTGCTGCCGGATCTGCAACAGCTTTTCTATTCTGTATTTTGTTTAGTAGTTTAATTTCTGTTTCTCAGCTCCTTGGTTGTAAAGTGGAAACACAACAATAAATAACTCAAAATGTTATGAGGTAAAAGCCATTCATACTTGCAAGCTGTCTGGAATTAATGTGAAAAATGGAAGAAACTATTCAAAAGTACTTAAAACATTCAAGGCTTTCTCTATATTACCTCTTATATCATAGAATTAATATGTATTTTGAGGGAAACTGTGTTGACTTATAGCCCACAGGATATAGAAATGAGATGGTGAAGAAGATTTCCCTAGGAAAATATTTTGCACAGCTGTTGGTCAAAGAGATGTTTACTTTATTTCATTATATATATGTGTGTGTTTGTGTGTGAAAAATATGAAGAGTTCACTCGAAGAATTCTTGGCAATAAAAAGCAAACTGTTCTAGCGCTTTCCAAAGCAAAATTAAACAACCCCCCAATCCTGCTGCAAAGAAACAAGCAATAACGTCTTGCCCGATTTTTTGCTTTCCCTCAGCTCTCCAGGCGATAGTGTAAAACTCTGCTCCGTGATGGCCAAACCACACAATGCTGTGTCACCTACATGAAATAGAGAATGAGCTAATCATTGTATAAACTAGGATTGTCTGAGGATACTGGAGGCCCTCTTCCCATTTTCTCTTGAGAATAAAAACCAAAATAAAGTAGACCGCAGACAAAAAAGCAGATCACTGAAACAAAGGCAGTAAGCAGGACAGAGGAGCCCGAGGAAGTTCGTGTTGCTGCTGTAAACCTGAGCGACCCAAGGAAAACAACACAAACAAACAGCTTGCAACTGTCTGAAGTAAAACCTGAGGACTGAATTCTGGTAGTCCGATTTATGTCAGCTCATAAATTATGGCCTACGTAGTTTGACTGAAGGCAGTGTGATTGCTTGTGAAAACAAGTAGTAAATACAATCCAAATCTGGTCTGAAATTGTTTTTAAGGCAACTTTCAACTCCTGGTATTTTCAGAAGTGTCAGCTTACTTTGTTTGAAAGTGCAGATATACTTCTTACCAAGACTAGAAGCGAATCTAGCTATAATTAAATATTCACCTGATTTTCTGTCAGTGTTGTCTTACCAGCATCTGTTCATGTTGACTTGTCTTATAATTCAAAAGAGAGAAAACACCTTCAAGAAGCTTTTTATTTTCTCCTGGTTTCAAGTTGCTTTGCCTCTGTTTTTAGCACTGTCAACATCAGTCTCTGTATTGTGTGCTTTCCTTTCCCTCTTTCTCCTTCTCTCTCTCTCTGTTGTTTTTTTTTTTTGAGAAATAGGGATCAACTAGGCCTATTAAGTAATCCAATAACTATTGCAAAGCTGTTCAAAAATTCAAAAGAGCAACTAACAAAACTTGGCCTAGTTTACAGACATTCTGAAGCATCTTTAATTAGCTGTTCTTTAATTAATATTCCCAGCTATGATGACATCATTAATTTTTTCCTGTGTCACTGAGCTATCTCTATAGAGTGAGATGCTATAAAATGGTAACCCTTTCTTTTTTTAAGCTGAACAGAAAAATATAGATGGATGTCTTTTTTTTTTTTTCTCTTTTCAATACTGCCATTCCTTTCACCAATATGAAGTAATGATGCCATGGTCCCTGAACAGTTGCAACTCTTGTGTACAATTCACACCCGTAAAAGTGTAATCTAAAACAAATTCATCATTCATAGACACTTTGAAAATCCTGAATCAGGGAAACTTAAAGTTTTGAGCCACTAGCTGGTTGCTTATAGAAACATCCTAAATCAGTACCAACTAACCTACTGCTGATTGGGGTTGAGGTTGAGCGACTGAATCAAGCCTTGGTGCAACTGCTTTCTAGACATCTTTTACAGATGAAGGTCTTTGAGCAGTTCATATAAACTCCCAGGCAGAGTCCAAAAGCATTTATTTTATCAGCAAAAACCTCCAGACTTTATGGTTTCTTGAACTGTCATAACAAACTTTCCTGCTGTATATCTTTTTTATAGGTGCTTGTGATTTGGGGGAAAAGCTCAGGAACATTCAAAATGCTGGTTTGACCTTTATTCTTCTCTCAAGCTAAGAGTGTTTCAATGAGTGAGATTTCAAAATCTGAATGAGATTTCAAATGACTCTTTGAACGCCCAAAGCAAAACCATCACCACAGGGAAAAGACTTGTTTGAAAATAAATGCCAAAGGAGAGAGAACTTTTTAAGTCTGCCCTTAGTAGGTGCAGGCCTGGGGGCCATAGCATGTTTTAAGAATAGGAAAAGGTCATCTTCTGGATCTTTTTTGTCTCATTTAATTACCAAATCTGTACTTATCCTTGAATCATCTTAGCCCTTCCTTTCTTGCTTGCTTGTTTCCTTCCTTTCAAACAGTAAGTGACTCAAGATTTTTGCCTTGATTCATTTACCCTACGTGACGCATGGCCACTAACTCCTTGTTTCATTTTATTTATTGGACAGGTTGTAATGAGAACGAGGCAGATCACTTGGACAGAGACCAGCAGCCTTATCCCCCATCCCAGAAGACAAAGCGCATGCGCACCTCCTTCAAACACCACCAGCTTCGCACCATGAAGTCCTACTTTGCTATCAACCACAACCCAGATGCCAAGGACCTCAAGCAGCTTGCCCAGAAAACAGGCCTGACCAAGAGAGTTCTGCAGGTAAGAGGCCACATCACAGGCTTGATGGAATTTTCCCCTACCCCTGCCAGTCAATAGCATTTCCCTTACGTGTAACGATAGTGATATATGTAGAAATACTTGTTCTAGGCGTGTCCCTAGTGGAGGGGGTATGGTATTCCATGGCAGGAGTGTCGAATGTACGCCCTACCACCCCAAGGCAGCCAAATACTGTAATGTGGTTTGTAATTAGTTGCATCCTCAACATGAGGAAACTGTCTCCAGAGCCTACCTACCCAGTAGATATCCTGGGATCTGTAGTCTCTCGGTGGTGACCTTGTTAAGGGTAGACGTAGCAAAGCTATTCATTTTATACACACTGGGTGAAGCCTTTGGGCTCCCCTGAAGTAGTCGATGTGGCCCCTCAGTGAGCAGATCTCCCAACATTTAGGAAGCAAGCTTTGAACGATACGATCCTCCAGGACCAGTCATCTCCCTCTTTCAATGCCTGTTAGACAACTGATACCATTAAGGGCCTACAAGGTTAAAAGTCACTTCCCTGTGAAGGGCAGCCCAGCAAATTACATTTGAAAAAATCCCTATATGGTGTGTGCTAGCTCAGTGAAGTTAAAGCAAAGTGTGTATTCTATGCAGAGTCACAAAGAAAGGCAGCGATTGAGGTAGAAGGAAAATCTATTAGTGGCAATTCCTTTTCTGTGTTACATGTCACCTAAAACATTTTCGGTGAACCTTACAGAACAGAAAGACCCATTGTTGGTAGGTGACCCATACCAGCAATCTGTGCGATAGGGATGGTGTAATTACCCCTCCTTCCTCTTCAGTCTTTTAGAAAAATAAAGACAAACTTCAGCCTTGGCAAAAATCTGCTCATTCACCCTTTGCCTCAATCTTTAGCACACGTCTTGACCCCAAACCCACCCAACCCAAGAATACACCAGATGGCCATCAAGAAACTTGCTTTCCTTGGGTGGGTGAGTGAGCAGATTTTGCTTAAGGCTGCTCTGCGAGGTCTGCACGCTGGGCTGCAACGCTCCAGTGAGCACCCGTAGCGCTGGGCCTCGTGCTCAGAGTCCCACCTGTGCAAGAGTCAGTGCTACCAGTAGCAAGTGAAGCTGTAGAGTGACCGAGGAGATTTGCCACTCAAAAACAAACATCCAAAAATGACTTAAGAGCAAAAAACAAAGACGAAAGTAAGCAAAGCAAAACAAGCATCGGTAAAGAAATCAATTGGGATTGGTTTGCAGGTTTGGTTTCAAAACGCAAGAGCCAAATTCAGAAGGAACCTTTTGCGGCAGGAGAATGGGGGTGTCGATAAAGCTGATGGCACCTCACTTCCGGCACCGCCCTCAGCAGACAGCGGCGCACTCACTCCACCCGGCACTGCGACCACTTTAACAGACCTGACCAATCCCACTATCACTGTAGTGACATCAGTGACCTCTAACTTGGACAGCCACGAATCCGGGAGCCCCTCACAAACTACCTTAACGAACCTTTTCTAACATTTCCGTTTTTTTTTTTTTTTTTTTTTAATTCTTACTCTTCTTCCTTATTATTATTATTATAATTATTATTTTTATTATTTTCAAGCCTTTTTTTTTAAAAAAAAAATACAAACCCACAAAATATTTGGGAAAATGAACAGCTTGATGTGTAGCATCTGCAGCCACTTGGCAAATGAGTTTGAAGTAATATGTTGCTATAATAAATGGACATTTACTGTTGTTAAATTGTACTCAAATTTTTTAAATTAATTGAATAACTGAAGAGAAGGTTATGAATAATTCTAATAAGTGCCTCTTAAAATTGTATGTTACTTATTTCCAGAACCTTGAAAAAATTATTTCTATCAGAAAGAATGAAAGAAGATTCTTTTCTGTCCTTGATAATCAGATAAAAATCAGTTTAATGATAGCCAAAAGAATGCTGCTTCAGGATTGTGCGCTCACTTACAGCATTTAAGAACCCCAAATTTCATTTTATTTTTATAATGCATCTAACAGTTTTGTATGATTTATTTTTAAAATATTGAAAAATAAATACAAAATGAATTAAACTAACAATTGAAATAGTCAGACTGCAAGTGCCAGTGCTTTTTTCTAATGCATTAATCACAAGCCTGACCTTCCCTGAGCATTGGGGAGTTTCACTGGAATAGCCGAGTGCTCCTCTTCCAATTCTTCACCCAGCTGGGACATCCTTAGCCACCACTGAAAGTTGTGCCTGGATGGAGGGCTTGGAGAGAGAGACCCCGTGATGAGAGTGCATGTGGTTGAGCATGGCAGGATCAGACTGTTGGTCCCCAAATTTGTGTCCTGTACGTGAAGGAGGCATGATCTGGGGAACACCCTCCAGAAAGTGCTCACTTCTACAGGGATGTTATTAAAGTAATAACAGCAGAATAACAACTCAAGTGAGGAGTCCTACTGAATTGAAATATTGCATAGGCGAGGTTTTTCATTTTTGTCTGCCAAGCAGATCTGATTCGGAGTTAAAAAACAACTGTCGTTCACTGTACAGCCTTGATGTCATAACATTAAAGTGAGCAGAAGGTTGCCGGTTGCCCAGCTACTTTAGTGAGCACAAAAATAATTTCCAAGAAGACTTATGTGTGTGTACTGTTAAAATGAGTTTTTGATAAACCACACTTTTTTTCAGGGAAAATGGAAATAAGCAAAATATAATTTATTAAGATGTTTAAGGAAAATATTTCAGTACAATTTATTCATTTGAATTTTGAATTTACTATTTTGAATTTACTTTAGGTGTTTCCTGAGATTGTATCAGACACTTTGTTTAACACATGGACTTAAAATCTTTAGTTCATTAATATCTCTAACATATACTTTAACTTTTTAAACTTTGTATAAAAGAAAAAATGTTAGCAAAACTTTGCAAAAATGGAAATTGGCAGTGAATAATTTTAAAGCAGATAAACTCAGAAGCCTTGTGGATGCTGATCTGAATACATTTCTTAGTTTACAATAGTGATCTTTCTTTTTTTAATTTTATTTAAGCTAAAAGTCTGAATGGTCTGGGCAGTGGTGAATGTTCATTTGTATCCTTTTATTGTAGTTGAACACCAATTAGATTGTGGAGAGTCTCAGAAACAAAACCGAACAAAATCCAGTCAAGATCTATGTCTTGCTTTTAGTGGATTGTTAAGAATAACTTTGCACATATACCCCACTTTTTAGAGACCATCAAATCTCTTTTTTGGTGGTCAAAGTGGCTATTTAATATATTTTAAAGGTGTCCTTTTTGGCTGTATAAATGTGTGGTTACATATTGACAGTTCACTGCCCACATTAAAGTGCATTATTGTAATTTTTGCTCAGGGTTTTTAGAAAATTAGCACAGAAAAGTAGCTTATTTTTAAAAAAAAGATGATGGAAGAGATGTTAACACTGTAATAGAAGAAAGGTGTGTTTGCCATTATATATTTAGCAAGTATGGTTATCATCTTCTACGGATATTAAATCTTGACTTTTCCTATTTCTATTACCTTATGGGCATTTACCACTAACCAGACCAAACAACCTTGGTAAGGCTGAGATCTTTATTAATACACTTTTACAGGTAAAAATATTGATACTTATAAATTTTGTTCTTTGACAGAACAATATATGGTACTAGAGATCTACTTTATTAAGTAGACTAATTAAAACTCAGTTCTACTATGTGCCTTATGATATACCTTGGGAGTAAGTTTGTGAAAAATCAGGATATATGTGTTGTTTGTTAAATTAACTGTTTTAAGCCCTTTTGACACCTCACTAGTTTTGTACTGTTTTACCTCTTATTTCTGAAACTCTTTTTATGGTGTATCCTGTTAGAGGGGACAAACATGTCATAGAAAGCAGTTGTGCACTCTTTCAGATATAGTTGATAAATCCAATAATCTTATATATTGAGCTTCGTGTTTATAGTACAGTAAGTGGTCTAGCAAAATTGTCCATGTTTCTTTGTTTATTGATAAATGCATTGTATAGAAACTATTTCCCCTAAATATTTATGGACCAAACAATTGTGATATATCCTATTAAATTTGTGTGAATAAACCATTTTGAATCTAAGGAGTTTTATTTCCCATCAGTTTTTTTTCTTTTCTTTTTTTTTTTTTTTTTAATTTAAAGTCTACATGTACCAGTGCGTCTCTTTGCTTTTACGGTACCTGTGAACAATTGGTATTAAACACGGAAACACGGCCTTTTAAATATTTTGAAATATGGTCCCTTCTTAGGTTTTCGATGACTTCATATTCAATGTATATGCTACTGTTGGTGCAATTTAGATTTTAGCCTTTTAACCCCCTTTTTGAAAGTGCAAAGTAATGCCCCACTGATTTGATATTGAAACCCTGTCATAGACTTCTAAAAAAGCCAGAAAACTAGCAGCTAAAGTAATTGCATGACAAATATAACCTAAATAATATGATGAAATGAACCAAGATTTAATACTAGGTATATTGAACACAAAATAGAATTGCAGACCCCGAAAAGCCAGGTTGCTCTGTAGTTTAATAAATTGTCACTATGATTTCTTTCAGGGAGAACAAATCATGGGGCATTACAGCCAAACATCCCGACGTTTGAAAATTCCCTAAAGTATTAAAAGAAGGGGAAAAGTTTGATCGGAAATCCACTGCAGTGAAGACAAAGACAATATTAGGTTATGATAATCATACATTTAAAAATCTATTGAGCCAAAAAATAAAAATTAAAGACTTGATGTCATTTCCTGAATGTTAACAAAACATATGTTATTTTATGGTGTCTAATTAACAGAACTGAAGGCTTCAACAAATTGTGTGGTATTAAAAACAAATTTAGAGAAACTATGTATAAAACCAGAGCAACCTGGCAGCAATCTACCCAGCCCATATTCGAAGAAAACTTTTCTTTAAAAAAAAATCACATTTGTCAAGCACAAGTACTTGTAAAATAAAATCTGAGTGCATTCATTCCACTTGCTTGCTAATGTGTACTAGTCATACTAGTCTGTTAAATGGATTTTTGTAAATTCAAAGAGAACTTTTCACTCATCGAGATCATAGGAATCAAAACCCAGTAACTTTAGTACTATTGTTTCTGAATTCCTTTTTTTTTTTTTTAAATGAGACAAATCTGCATGCACTTTTCCATCTGTCACATATAGTGTACATTTCTGTATGATGAATTTCTCTTTGATGTTTCTTGTATAATAGCTTTCATTAATAAACATTTTATTTGATGCAAACATAGTTAACTTTATGTAAACACATAGCTAATTGTTCCAACAAATTTAAACTTTTCTTTTGAAAAGAAGCAGTACAGTGCAGTTCCAATATGTTATATATACCTAAAATCACAAAGAATGAGGTAGCAATACTGTTGCACAGTGTAAAATTATTTCCTTTGGTGTTAACTTTTTAATTTTTTAACTTCTTGTATAAAACTGACATGTTTTAAAAAAAATTCCCACCAGCATCAAAAATAAAACAATCCCAGATTCTTCATCAGTATAAGAAAACATAAACAGTACAGTATGTAAAATCCTCAATGACTTTTAGAGTACAAGGATATAATTTGTGGATCCCTGAGCTGTTTACATGGTCACTATGCAATGAGCAAGTATGTCACAAAAAGTTGGTCCTACGATTCCCAGTCCAAATCACAGATGATTTTTACAAGCCAATAAGCAAGTGTAACAATAACCAATTCTTAGTAATGAGGTTTTGTAACTGTTAAGCAACTATTTGAAGAAAGATTTTTTAAAAATATATTCCTATTTAGCTGTATAGCCAAAGCATATGTTAAACAAATTAACATATAAAAGACTTGCCAGAAAATCTTTCATTAAGATGACATTTTTATTATATACTAATGAACCCTATGTAATCAATGTAACTTTTATGAATGATGGACATTAAATATTTCACTTACGTGTATCCTCAGCATTTTGCATGTTTTCTTAAACTTTTTTAGTTTCTGAATTCTAAAAAGGAAACCATACCATTATTAACAATGTAACACAAAGTTACATGCAGATTACTGCAGTGATCTCTGGAAACTGGTAACCAAGAGTGTTCAAACAGCAATAAAAAGGTATCATTTATTGGTGGCAATTATGGGAAGCATTGTTTAAACAACAGTTTTATAGTATGTTGTAAAGTTCTATTGAAAAAGGTTAGCATGGTGAACTTAATTCAAATCAGATTGATCAGAAATTTAAGTATATTGTGAAATTCTTAAACTGAGCCTTATGTGTACTGCAGAAAGTAAGTAAATGTAGGAAAGCAATTACTTTTGTCACAGCCATAATGTTGTTTCCCCCTGTACCAGAGGAAAATATTACAAACATTAATTATTCAAATCAGTAAAGAACTTGGTAGTGTTTAGCACCAAGAAAAAAACCTACATACTATAATCTTTCTTTTGTAAATCCCTGCATTCTTTAATAAGTTGGATTCCTTCTCCCCCTGATTTAATATCTATAGGCAAATTTGTAGCCTAAATTATTGTTCACGTGCTGCTTTTTTCACCTGATTTAATTTAGAAAAACAAATTAATTAAATACTCCTGATGAAATATTATCTCCACTGAAGTCAGCGGCAAAATCATCACTGATTAAAGTAAAACCAAGACAATTTTATTTCTCCATGTCTAACTAGAGACATTAAGGTTTGATCGCTCTTAATACTATTCTTTGTTTAGAGATAGTTCTGCTCATAGTGCTCTGATTGACCTTACTAGTTGAAATAGCAATTTTTTTTTGAAAGTTAAAGAACTGTTTCCTGCAGTAAGAGAGTAAACAAGTTGAAAGAGAAGCATTATGTGAGAAAGAAAAGAAAAGAATAATTTCAGACAAGATTTGGGAGAATGCAAGACAAATTTAGGTTTTCAGAATTGTTGCAAGTGAGAAATGTGTTAGAAGTCTTTCTAGTAGATACATATCCATGTCTAGATGCAGCATTTCTTTGCACTCCTGGTCTTGAAAGAGAAGTTAAATTGTGCGGTCCTAGAACATCTTACTCAGAACTACTCACCAGAGACATGGCTTGCAATACCAGGGCAAATGACAGAAGGCTGACACTGCAGCCCACTGAAATTGGTGATTATTCTGTCTCCGATTCTGTGGGCTTTGAGCCAGGAGCTGAATGAACATGGAGATTAAATTACTCTCTTGTCTCTAAAGAAAGCATAACCTCCGGAATCAGACAGAATATATAGGACAGCCATGCCACTCTGTGCTTTGGACTTCATTCTTCAGAGCTGCTAATCCAAGCACCTGGCACATGCATTAAATTGACTTAAAAATATTCCTTCCTCCTTCACCCAAATACAGGACACAAATTATACCACTGAAATTTCCAGAAGCTACTATAGTGTCAGGGACTTTATTCAGTTATTCTGCAATGTTGAACAATTCTTCTGCGCCTCTCACTTGACACAGACTGATCTCGACACATACCTATATACATATCCTTGTCTTGCCTTCAGATAACCAGTACTTTCATATTTATTTAAGTCATTCAAACCTATAGGAAACAACTCCCCATCCTTACATATTCTAGCAAAGGCAGTTGTCATAATTATTTTTGGTACTCATCTACAGTAAAACATTTTTTCCAGAGTAGTTTTTATGTTATGAATTTGTACTTCTGTATGGTTTTTTTTTTTCATAGCTTTGGACCAAAAAAAAATGGAGGGCTTAAAACATCTAAGTGTACAGATTATTTTGCCAGCTTTTCCTGTAATATCTAGAAAAACAAATCTACTGGAATCATTGAATTCATGGCTTGCATGTTACTGTAAGAGTATTCCCCTCTACAAATTTATTTTATCATAACAAATGATATCAAATGCATTCAATTCTAATTTTAACTAATATGATTAATATTAGAAATGACAGCTTTTCAGCTGCACTTGTTTCTGGCTCAAGTGTGTTTCTGCTTTTGGAAATGGGATTGTGAGCAAGCATTCTTTGAAATTTCTGGTATTTGCTACTGCTAGGAACAGAGGGATAGACTGAAAGTCTGATCTAGCTTAACAAAAATCAGTGTTATTTTCCAGTTTGTCCTTCTTTCAAATTGGACTTTAACACAGGATAAAAATACTATCAATAATTATTTTACTGCTAGAAAATAGAAGTTAGATATGCTTCCCCTTTGCACTTCAGTTACACACTTCAACATAGATTTCTGAGAGTTTTGAATGTGTGAGATTGCTGCATATAGCAAATAAATAATAAGGGAAAGAACAAGCTAGGAAATGGTATTCAGACTGCCAGTACAAACAGTTACTGGGTGAGATGTGGTAGTTTATCATCCTATGTATACTTATTTCACCATTTTCCTTGAGGAATTTGGACTTACCTGAGAGTAAACGATCAACTAACTTGCTGTTGCCACATGCATCTTGATCGCACAACTGAGATCAACCTGTAACAAGAGTTCTTCAGGAGTAATTATCTAGCAAAATAACCAAATGTTGCCCAATATCTTAAAATCAGTAAAATCAAATGCAACATCATGAAAGCTGAGAGCACTGATTACTATAATATCTTAAGACATATACAGGCTCATGATTGTTCATAGAGGATAATTAACAAACACATATCCCATCACAACAAGGGGCCATGCATGCAGTGTCAGTATGGACAGAAAAATAGGTTTAGAAAGTAACAAACTTGACAGCTTAGAAGTTAATATTTTTTTTTATCTGCAAAGATACTTGCATATTACTGCTCAGACTGCAGCCACCAGTGTTAGACAATACATCTCATTTTCTCTTCTGGCTGTCCAGCAGAGTATTTTTTGACTTTGTAAGAAAAAGTAGGCTACAGAAAAGAAAGTTAAATGGACACTGTAAAGTACACAAATGGGATTGTGTGCCTTTTATGTGCCTGCTAGCACATTTAATATAAAATGCTACTGCATTGAGGCTCTGAATATCAGTCTTAGAGAACCTATTGCTTTCTTTCTGCTTTTTTATTTGAAGATACCCTGCTTCTTGTATACAAGGTTACATAGGTGAGCTATAACTACATTAGCTGAACTAATTTCCTACCCCACTTTGTCAAAATTTTTCTTAAT